ACCTTTTCTAGTTAAACGGCCATAGCAGACAGCATATTTCGTTTGACTTGTCTGTAAAGCCATTTTGAAATTTTAATTAATCTTTCATACAACTATTGTTAAGGCAAATAAAGTAAGATTTAATATTTTCAAAATAATTAAAAAAAAATTCTCTGAAAAGGCGTTTCAATTAGCTTAAAATCAAGTACAGTTGAAACAAGATGATTGACCTAATATTGTCAAGGCTAAAACTAACATTAAACTAAATATTAATCTTTCTTTAAACAAGCAGATCTTATTCTTGCCTGTTAAATGTTAAGAAAGACTTTAGATGAAATAATCTTATTCTTAATTTAAGATTAACAATCGATTAGACCAAATTTTGGAAAATTTCCTCTATTCGGTTCTTAAAGATATAAACCTATACTGGATATAAATATAATTCTATTTATTCCAAGATTAGTATTTATCATATCAATAAACTATCTAAAACCACAAAAAAACAATAAATAAAATCAATTTAAAATCTTTAATTAGCCTGCAAGCATTAGTAACATTCTAGCAATTTCTCGAATTAATGAAGATCATTTCGTTTGCTAGCATTTAATGTGCAGAATGCAGAGAGAAATTAGCTCTAGCTGGTAACGTAATTTGAATGATTCAACATAAAGAAAACGTGTACCGACTGCGCCATTTAATCCATGCCCCATAAAACAGGTAATTATGAAAATTAGCACTTTGCGACTGAAGTATAAATAAAAAGACAGCCTTAAAAGCGTTAAATTAATGAAATTATATTCGTAACTGATTTCCCAAGGATTATGTAATAGGGGAATTGCGGCGAAGGCAGTTGGCTACCCTATAAATGGGTTATGATGTCTGGGCGGGCGCCAAGTGCCCATAACAACGCAATGGATCGCCCGAATACTTTGTAAATACACTTTTAGCCGTTTTCCGATGATATGGAAATCCGGTTTCCCAGATGATCCCTGCTCGAGTAACATTTGTTCCAGCTTTCCTCTAACGATTTTCTTTAGATTTTTCATTGGGTCCATTTGCTTTTGAGATATGTGCTAAGCACGCCGCATCAGCATTTTAATGTGGCAAGCTTCTCATAGTTTCTTAATTTAAATCAGAAACTATCTTTACTTAAAAAAATTAAATTACTTGAGGGGAGATATTTATCTATTCGTTTAAGTACGAGGTGTATTCAGAAAGTATCGGGAATTTTCGTTTTTTGAAACAATTATTTATTTATTCGTCTACATTAATGTTGTCGCCTTCAAAATAGTCCCCATTGGATATTATGCACATGTGCCAGCTCTTCTTCCAATACTCGAAACACTTCTAAAACTCGATCTTTGGGATAGCCTTTAGTTCTTTCAGCGATGCGCTTTTAATGTCATCTATGCTTGCAAAACGACGGCCCTTTAAGGTTCTCTTTATTTTTGGGAATAGGAAAAAGTCAGACAGAGGCATGTCTGGCGAATATGGAGGCTGGGGCATCATTACAGTATTGTTTTTGGCCAAAAATGTTGTTCAAAATTTAACAATTTTAGAACAAATTTTGCTGCCACGCGTTTCATAGTCAAAACATTCGAAAAAATTTCATGGGATGAGCCAATCGATATACCAACATCATCAGCGACTTCTCTGATGGTTTATAACCATTTCTTCCACTTTATCCATGTTTTTATCGGTTGTTAATGTGCTTGTGCGTAAATATTCAACGTCTTCACGACCATCTTGGAAACTCTTATACCACTTGTAAACTCTTGTTTTACTTATAGCAGACCACTATAGGCCTTTGTTAACATTTCACAGAATTTATTTCATTTTTTAAGCAAAATTGGATACAAATTCTTTGATCCATTTCTTTTAACGAACGAAAAATCGCCGAGCTCATAAAACACGTCTAACCTTAGCGGCTGCCACAGACAAAGTAAACAATGAAAACAGCTAAAGTTTTTATCATACTTAGGGGCATGTATACCAACATAATAAAGAAAATTTTATGACAACCGGACCCTCCGAACCCGCGAAATTTAACAATTTTCGTTATTTTCTGAACACACCTCGTATATTACAATATTAGCTTGGTTGAAAGAAGAAACATTCAAGAGATTTTGTATTTGTTTTCAAGAGAACTATACTTCTTGCCACTAACAATTTTTTATCAAGAGAGTTAACTACTTTAGATTTTTTTTCAGTGTAGAAATTTATATTAGATTGTTTATTGAAATTTAATCTAAAAAAAAATTATCTAATGTTGAACACAACCGTTCCTAATGGTATTTAAATGTTAGTTTTTATGCTGAGATAGAGAAAATTGATCCTTTGCATTGTGATTTCGAGCGGGAAAAACGGTTCGTTTTATGCTATTTCGCGTAGTCATATTGAATAAGAAAGAGCACCGCTTATTGAAGCGGCAACGTGTATTTGATTTATATTTTAAAATTTTTCTTAACTTTGGTGTTTTTGTTTTTACCGTTCCAATATATATTGAAATGTCAATCAGCATGGCGCGCAACTTAACGTTTTATACCTTTCCGACTTTTTGACAACTTTATAATACATTTTATTTTATTATTTTCGGCGGAAGGTTGTAAGAATCTCGTACCGTTAAATTGGTGCCAAGTTTTATTCGTTAGATTTATTGAAATATCAACGGCAACTTTTTACCATACATCAGTGTAATTTTTAAAAACATTTTATCTACACAGTAAAAAATATTTGCTAATTTTAACCAAATATTGACCAGATTTAATAGAAAATCTCTTGAATGATTTTGTTCAAAATCTATGAAAATTATTTATATTTACGCAATTAATTCAAGATACATCACAATTATCCCAATTTTACAACAAAATATGGTAGCTTCTGATACATTCAATGTTAAATATTATGTGTTTTGGTTACTAACGTTTTCTGGGTTAATTTAACCAATTAAAAAAAAATAAGTAACTGGTTTAGTAGCGTCAAACTAATCCTTGTTTATATTAACCTTCCCACAGTTGATTTAAATAAACTAAATTAATATAGTTAAATAAACTATTCCTTTTTTTCTGTGTGATTTTCATTTCTTTTAAGACATTATTTTTTTCAGTGTAGGTACACAAACAATAATTGTTTTTTTAATAAAATATTATAAAAACCTAATAAAACTTTATAATCCATTTTAAAACACTGTATATGGGAAAATGTGAAAATTAAAATTGGCAAATTCAAAATAAAAACATAAATTGATTAGTATTAAATGATTTATTTTAAATTTGTAACCACGTAACAAAGTTTATTTCGAACATTTTCAACCTTTATTACATTTTTGCCATTCGGAAAACAAAAAAAGTCCCTAAAACGATATTAAAACAAAATTAATGAATGTGGATTTTCGTTTTATTGTTCAGTTTTTTGCGTTCGAACTTTTATGTCAAAATTAATAAAACATTCAACAATTAAAGATTAAATTTTATGATATTTTTTGTATAACACTAATAAAGTAACAAACATATATTTTTATTACATATTTTAATTAATAGGTACCTTCAAAAGCATTCAACAAATTAATTATTTTTTTTTATTTTAAAAGAGTTTTATGATTCCAACTCCACTGTGAAAGTGCATACAACACGCCACAACACAACACAACCGACAAAATGTATACACAGTAAAAAAATTTGCCCGTGTAAATTTTTTAGTGTAGGGGTAAAAATATTAGAGTTGATTTGTAAGTGTAAAAGTTACACTACAAAATACACTAGGTAGCATTTAGTGCTTAGTAACTTTATTAAACACATTTAAAGAATATGAGCATTATTCATTCACACTATTTATTATTAAAATAAATCAACTTAACGCGAGTGTTGATTACCCCTTAATGTGTTAAATAGTGACAAAATGTACACTACAGTGCATGCCAATTTCTTTGTCTGTTTTTATGTTACTAAGAGTTTTTTTTTTCTTTACACTACTAGTGCACATTGTATCATAATTAAAGTTAAATTACACCAATAGTGGCGAAATAGACTAAAAAAACTGTTATAACCAAAATGCGTTTTAAAATGTTTGGTTGGTACCTATCTACCTAGGCTGTGCATATCCGGAGATACCGCGTTGTGGAAGTGTGGCATTTTTGTTCAGTTAGATTTTAATTACGATGAATCCATAAGGGGACATTCTTATTTTTTTGTAAGTATTATACTTCCTTTTTCTTTAAGACTTATTACTCAATAAATACCAATATGTTAAAAGGATGTTCATACCCGACCTATATTATATATCAATAATTTACAGCAGTAGGTCGGGTACTTGTAACATTAATAATATAAATACATACACACTTGATTTACTTTTTATTTTCAAGCGTATTGGTTGTTATATTAACCTATACCTACACTTTTATTAATATTATGGAAAATTTGTACACGTGTGGTAAATCCCCGACATACAGCCGCCTGACGCCTCTCTACCAATGGGATCACCCATTTTTTATAACAGAAAAATGGATTACTGATGAATTCTCAAGATAATTCATTGCTTACAAGTTGACAGCCAGTAAAACATTCCATTGATTTAAAACTTTTACGTTTTAAGGAAACATTTTGCTTAAGCTATACGACTCAAATATAAAATTATATTTTAAAAGGCACCGATTTTGATAATTGTCATAGATTTTTGTTCCAAATAAATGTTTCTCTTTATTTACCTTTTCGTTTTATTTACCACCACCAATAGGTTTCTAAAATTAGAACTTTTTCAAAGTAGTGTTAATTTACACTGAACAAAAATGGGATTTTACCCAGGAAGTGTAGTACACGATTTTAGGTACGAAGCAAATAATTCAAAACCATTGAAAGTGGAGAGATAACATCAATGTCCTTTAATCCTTTATTCCGGAATAGCTTTAAGCTGTCTAAACTTAACTAGAGTATATCTGGTAAAGGGGCAAGAGAGCCAAAGTCATGTGCAGTCGGCGGCCCTTCTATGGTAAACGGCGGGCGCCAGGAGTCGGCAGTTTAAATCCCGCTCCTACTTCGGCAACATCCTGTTTCGTCCTTCGTCCTTGCCGAGCCTCTGAGCGCATACGCCGCGCGTTTTGGATCCTAGCTGTCGCTGAATTTGGTTCGTGGAGTTCGCTGCTAGTTCGAAAGTTTAAATCTAGCGGATTTTGGCAGATTTTTGTGTGGTTTTTGTCTTGTGAAGTGTGGGAAAAAAGTTATGGTAAGGTTTTATTTATTGTTTTTGAGTCAAGTTTAAAAAGAATTTTATGATGTAAGTAAGGAAAAGTGTTCAAAACATTGCAACTTAAAAAATTTAAATTAAAAATGTACAAACATTAACTATAGTTACTGTAAAAAAATTAAATTAAAAATGTACAAACACTGACTATAGTTAATGTAAGATTATATTAAGACTATAGTATTAAAACTGTTCACAAACATTCAATTTGTGTAAATAAATCCAAAAGCACTTCCCTTAGTTAAGACATTTACAATTTGGGCCCATAACCTAAAATTTGAAAGAAATGCACTATTTGCATTGTTGATTTTGTCAATTTTGTAATTAAGGTAAATTTAAACAAAATTTGGCAATTTTTTTGACAGAACCATAACATAAAAAAATCTACATTTTTTGTTTCTCCCCTTAATTTCACCATGTTTTTCTAATATCCACCCCAGCTACATACATAAATAAAGCAATTAAAACATGATTATAGGTCGTAAAACGCTAGCAGCTTCCATTAAACGCCCGTCAAATAATAATAATTTATTAACTGCCCTTCAAAAATTTCATTTAATTAGTGCATACGTTCGTTAAATGGATTGTAACCTTTCAATTTATCGGTGCAGTAAAAAGAAACATAACGTTTTATAGGTTTTCCCTGTCGATAAAACTAGATCACATTGTTACGGGGTGTTTTACCTCGTATGGTTGATACGAGTTTGTCTATAAAAAAATTTATTTTTTAAAATGTTTTAAAAGTCTAAAACCTATCCTCCGTGACGGTTACTCTTTCTAGGTCAAACATCTGAGGTAGTAAAAGCATACTAAAAATATCAGTTCACCAAGTAAATTAAACACATCCAAAGCAATCGAATCAAATATAAAATATTATTAAAAATTAAAAAAAATAATTTTTATAACCATTTATGTAGGTGCTACCAAAATTGATTCTATCCTCCGTGAATCTGTTTTTGCTTTAAATTTTACGCAACGGATGGCGCTTTAATCATTTTAAATAAGCAAAAACCTCTGTTTACGACATTATAGATGCATGTTATTCCTGAAGGTCAGTTAGAATTTATATGCAGATGAGAGTGTTGCTGTTTTATAATTCAAAAGTTTAAGTTCATTAATTTGCTATTTAAAAACCTATCCACCGTGAAGTTAAATATCTCAGTAAGTAGATTTTTTTTATAAATATTTTATGTATGTACAATTGTATTTTTAAAAAATATTAAGGTGTCAAAAGATACCATAACATCTCAATATATTCACCCATATAAGATATGTATGCGCTTTTAAAATTTAAAACAAAATAATTTTATTTTTAGATATTATAATTTTGATTACATCATTTTATGTTAAACAGAGTTTTTTATGGTACCGCGATGTATTAAGAAGGTAATTTCCTCTAATAAATCAGTGTCGACAATTTCCTTTTAAAATCGCGCAGTTAAAATAAATTTATCGGTAGGTTGGGGCGTTTTTATTTATTTTTGTACTTTATTTTTAGGCTAAATTATATTTTTGCGGAATCGTTTGCCCGTCTTTTACGGTCTATTTTATAGTATGATGTTTTTTAGATTTTTTTTATATTAGCATTAATCATGTTATTGTAAGATTGATGGAGCGGTGTCGCATTTTTCAATTTAAAAGTTATTTAAGGCAGTTTTGTAAAAAATAGATAATTTTTATCTTTTTGTATATTTTTACATTATTAATAATATTAATAGTGGGTGTCACAGCTAAGGAATATTGATCGATTTCAAAACTTTTTTTTTTAAATCGAAGCAAATTTATTTTAGCGTTTCCAGATTTTCTTTAATTCAAACAAAATCTGGCCACTTTTATGAGAGAATCTAGAGCATTTCTTTCAAGTTTTAGGTTATGGGCCCAGATTGTAAATATCTTAACTATTTACACAAATTAAATGTTTAAAGTTTAAACTGTGAACTTGTCCTAATTTCATCTGAGGAAACAGAAAGAAAAAATAATTTTGTGGTTTTAGAGTTTTTAAAATAGGTACTAAATTTAAATACAAAAAAATTTATTAGAGCTTTAATATTTATTAAGTTTTTATTTATTTTTTGCAAGAAAAATTTTTAAGCTAACTTTTAACGTGAGAAGGTAGTTTTATAGTTCAAAATATAGTCCTCAGTAAAATCAATAAAATATAAAATTCCGATAAAATTCTCTTTATGTACTGCCACATTATAATCATATTAAAGTTTGAACGGAAATAAAACTTCTCAAAACTTGTTGAAGTCAATTAAATGTAACTTATCGAATGTAGACATTCTCAATTATGATCAGATAGTTTTTCAATTTAAAAACTCCCTTCCCCCGTTCCAACAATCAGGTACCAGTTATCTTCTCTCTATATATATTAAGTAAACTTTCAATATTTGACCTGTTCATTTGCAAAGCAAAATTAACGCTCGCAATGCAGATAATACTACAACAGATTGTATTATAGCGATAAAATTTCAATATTCCGTAGTCTGAAATAATAATAAACTTCTTCTGGCTGCAGATGCTCGTTACAGTTTCAGCTACAGACACTGCATGGGTTCGAAACTATGTCGGATACATTTTCCAAACTGTTTAACAACTGAATCTACATAATTTTATCGTGCGAACGTATATACGATTTGTCAAATGGTTATGGCTGTTGTAAAAAAGTTTTCGAAAAACAAATTGTTTGAGTGTCTAGGAAAGTTTATAAACATTTGACATCTGTCAACTGTCACCCGAATTTAACCTCACTTTTCCCAATTTGTAATATAGCTAACTTCAGCCCGTGACTAAAACGCCATAAAGTCACAGCTTGCCAATGTAGGAGTAGATAAACAAAATTAAATTATTAAGATAAGCCTTTTTAAAAGGATTAAAGTCGTTGTTTTTAATGAGCCTTTGTTTTAGGCCACTTATCATCCTAATTAAAAGAAAAATTAATTCCCAAATTAATGTTATTGCAAGTACTTTGTATTTATTCACCGTAAATTCCTTCCTCTAGTTATGTGAAAAAATAACAAAATTTTAAATATGATAAAAAAAATTATTACTTCCATTCTCTGTACATACTAGTCCTTAATTTTTTATTAGAAGAGAACGGGAGAAACCATCTGAAGTGCACCTTTAAAATACTCTGTGACTTATTATTTTACAACAAAAAGGTTTATTTTGCTTCCCTTTGCATTTGTGCTAACTAAAAAGATATTCTTAAGTTTGGATTTTGCAGAAGCAGTTTTTGTTCTATTTAGGTATTTACTTTGATCATCAAGTTTGATGTCATAGATTTAATTTAATAATAATAATAACATTAGGAGTCCTGAACATGGGCTTTACATACTAAGATAACAAAAGCTAAGTATACTAAGTACCTACTAGGGTGTTTCATTTAAAACGAATTTTTTTTTCTTGCTGACACATGAAAATTTTGTTTTTTAGGTTGAAAAAAAAATTCCCTGAAAATTTGAGCCCTTAACTTTTATTTTAAGTACTTCCTTTTTAATTTTGTAGTTTTTCCATATAAAAAGCATGTATTTTTAATCTAATTTCCTGCATAGTATTCACGGTTTTTGAAAGGCCCTGCATCAATTTTGTTTTTGATTTATTTTCGTTGATTATAGTAGCTCCAAAAGTCTTTTTTTCACTTTTTCTCACATATTTTTGAGAAAATCGAGCGAATGACTGGTTTTGCCGAAAAAGTTTAAATAAAAAAGTTGTAGGAAATTTAATTTTTGACAAAAAAGGTTTTCACGTTCTTATCACTAAAGTGCTTTGTTTAAGAGATATAAGCAAATCAATAACCAAAAACAAAGAAAAAATAGGTTTTATTGAAATTTGTGTAATTTGATTCAACAACTATATATTGCTTATATCTCTTAAACAAAGCACTTTAGTGATATGAACGTGAAAACCTTTTTTGTCAAAAATTAAATTTTCTACAACTTTTTTATTTGAACTCTTTCGGTAAAACCAGTCATTAGCTCGATTTTCTCAAAAATATGTGAAAAAACGACTTTTGAAGCTACTACAATCAACGTAAATAAATCAAAAACTGATGCAGGGCCTTTCAAAAACCGTGAATACTATGCAGAAAATTATGGTGATAAAAATTATAATTTAAAACCCGTCCAAAATATAGAAATTTAAAGTAAAAATGATTAAAAATACATGCTTTTTATATGGAAAAACTACAAAATTAAAAAGGAAGTACTTAAAATCAAAATTAAGGGCTAAAATTTTCAGGGAATTTTTTTTTCAACCTAAAAAACAAAATTTTCCTGTGTCAGCAAGAAAAAAAATTTCGTTTTAAATGAAACACCCTAGTACCCACACTGAAAAAAATATTATTATATTAACAAGAAAACTGCATATCTTTATTAAAAAACTTAGAAAGCTGAAAAAATATTGTTTCTTGCCGCTAATAATTTATTATCAAGACTCTTTATTCTATAGGTACTAAGATACGTAATTCCGTCTTATTCAACAGGTTTAAAACTTTCAGTTCACTACTACCCACCCCAAAGTCTAAAATGATAATTAAGCGTTAATTATGTATATGACATGGCTCTATTATTAAGATTTCGCGTACCTCTCAGTTTTGGTATTCCACAAGGCATCGTAGCTATTAGCACCGAAGTGTATTAACTGTCTTAGTTGGCAGTTCAGTTTCACCAACAAAGTAAAGGTAAAGGTGCACAGTGTATAAGCCATGTTTCTTACTAATAATTTAACAACGATTTTGTAGGTAAATGATTTAACAAACTGCCTCTGGGTAATACTAGTTTACTGCAGTTGGTTTATTTATCGCTTTTAAAATAGTGTTTTATGCAGTGGCGTAGCCATCTATTATCAATGTCCTTCATTACCATGGTTGCAGACCATACAAGCCATTAAATAAAATAGCGATTTTAATAAAATCAATACTTTTATTACAAGGGCTATCAAATTTGCTTAACGTATTCAAAAATTTTAATATCTTACGAAAG